GAGACTATGCAAGTCTTTCTTGAATGAGCCTTGATTAGTTAAAACTAAACTGTGTTCGTGGAACGACATGAGGCTAAGTTTAGAGATGGAGCTAGGTTGAGTCTGACTTTTTCGGGAAAGTCTTCCTTTCTTTAGCTACTTTCATGGAATACCCCCCAGGTGTGCACACTAAGTGAGACTATGCAATTGTGTCTCATATTAGCCTTGATTAGTCAAAGCTGAAATGCGTTAGTGGAACGACATGAGGCTAAGTTTAGAGATGGCGTTAGTTTGAGTCTGACTTTTTTGGGAAAGTCTGGCTTTCTGTAGCTACTTTCATGAAATACCCCCCTAGTCAACGCTGGAATATGTTGTGGATAGTAGACTGTCCAGTATTTTGGTCGGCAAAGTAATCGATGGATTCTGGCGTAGTTTGAATAAATAGAGGAACAGCACTGGTCATTCCCAGTGTCTTAGGCTTCACCTTGTTCTTTTGTACTACTGTCTTACATATTTCACACCTGGAAGCAATCTGCTGCTTAAGGTAGCCTTCTGCCAACAGAGCCAGTATTAAACCAGAATTTAAAAATGCTAATTTGTTTCAAAATATAGCATGGTCTCATTTTTTTTCCAGAGCTATGTATCCATCCATCCATCCATCTTCTGTAACTGCTTCAGGATCACTGGGACTCCAAAGCCTGGGACAACCCAGGATGGGGTGCCAACCCATCACAGGGCACCCTCACACATGCACACCAATGGACAATTTGGTGACTGCAATTAACCTCAGCATATTTTGGGCTGTGGGGAGAAAGCAGAGTAAAAGGACACCCCATAGTGACACAGGGAGAACATGCAAACTTCACACACATGAAGCCTTGGCAGAGACTGTCCATCACTATGAAAACTTATTGTTTGAACATCCTTACATACTGTTGTCGAAACATACATTCAAAACTAAATTATGTTTTTTTACACTTGTCTCAATACCATGTCCACTTTTTCAAAACACTTGACACATTCACCATATCTATAGACTATGTGAGCTAAACTAAGAATACTTTTGCGTTGCTTTCATTCAATGTCGCTTTCATGCAATATGCAAAAGACTACCACCACAAGGTGACTAGCCTTTTGAGTGACACTGCAACATATGCGGCTCTTAGGAGGGACCCTACCAGCAGCTACAGGAAGAAGGTCATAGATTTTTAACAACAACTGGAGAAGGACAAAGTCATTGACCAACCCCTATACTACCGCCTGTACCATGGTGAAGCTACAACATGCATCTATGGACTCCCAAAAATACACAAAGAAGATACACCGATAGTTAGCAGCATCAATTCAGCCACATACAGCATTGCCAAGCATCTAGACACCATCCTAGCTCCACTGGTTGATCCACCACATCAACAATTCACAGGACTTTGTCAACAAGGTTCAAAACCTTAATCTGGACACAGATGAAACCATGGTGTCTTATGATGTCACCTCTCTGTTAACTTGCATCCCAACAACTGAAGCAGTCCAGACCATGAGGGAACATCTGCTAAGACAGCACTCTCTCTGACAGAACCAACTTCAACCCAGACAACATATGCACTCTTTTGAACCTGTGCCTCTCCACCACATATTTCAAGTACAATGAATGTTTTTACAGACAAAAACATGGCTGTGAGGTGGAGAATTTCACCATACACATCACCGTTGTGGACATTAACACCAAATTCACTCGAGAAGATGTCACAGGCTACAGCTTAGCCTTCTTAGACTGTGCGGTACACATTGAGGAGGACAGGAGCCTCAACACTGAAGTGTACTGGAAACCCTCACATACTGATCAGTATTTGCTCTTTGACTCTCACCACCCTCTGGAACACAAACCATGGGAGTAATCAGAACCCTACACCATTGGGCAGAAAATATTCCCACTAGAACAGAGGGAAAGGAGAAGGAACACAAACATATCAAGGAGTCCCTCAAAACATGTACATATTCTAGCTGGGCTTTCTTGAAATCTATGAGAAGATCGAATAAGAGCACTGCTACAACTGACAGGGAAGAGAACAAACGTAAGAGCATTGTCATCCCTTATGTTACAGGGGTGTCTGAAAAGCTCAGGAGGATTTTCAACAAACACAGCATCCCTGTACATTTCAAACCAGGCAAAACACTGAGACAGAAACTGGTACATCCCAAGAGCAAAACACCCAGACACAAACAGAGCAACGTAGTATATGCAATGAGGAATGTACAGATCTGTACATAGAAGAAACCAAACAGCAGCTCCATAAACACAGACAGAAGGGCCAGCTCATCAGGTCAAGACTCAGCAGTTCACCTACATCTGAAAGACAAGGGCCACTCCTTTGATGACCAGGGTGTTAAGACCCTAGACTGTGAGGCTGACTGGTTCAAACGAGGTGTGAGAGAAGCAGTTTACTGCGAGATTGAACGACCCTTGTTAAACAGAGGAGGTGGCCTTAGGCATAATTTATCACCCACTTACTATGTAGTTCTTTGAACTCTATCCAGATGGTTTCACAGTCGTTCACACCCTGGCCCAGGTGGTCACAGTGACATACATGAAAGCCAGGGGAAACAACAACCCACAGGTGACCATCAAGTATTAATGACTTGAGGGCTCTGCACGATTTATAAACCTGCTACTCTAACTAGTCAGTCAGAATTGAGAAAGCCTTCATTCCGAAGGGTGAAATGTTTTCAGGTGCCACTGAATAACCTTTCTTTGGATAATATGCATTCAATAACAGCTTCTTCCAAAATTAATGAAAACATGTTCCAGACAATATTCACCACCAGTTGAATTCTGTACATTTTCAACAATTTTTGCAGACATCTAGATACTTCAAAACAATTAACTTCAAAAGCTAACAAAAGTGAAGGCACTTTAGATGGAAATGTGCTGAATTTCAGGAAGTGAGACTACTGTAAAAGAACTGAATTACTGTCAGTCAGATTAATATGATTTTAGCTGAAAGTTAATTCAGTTTATTTGCAGTCTTGTTATCATCTGTACAAAAGTGGTGATGTTTACTGTATTTTTCATATTTGCATGTGAAATTCATACAATTTTTACCCAAAATTAAGTGGATGGATGAGCTTGTAGTGGTAGTATAGAAAAACACCTGACTGCCATTTCAGCTAAAGACCTACCCAATATGATTTGACATGGTGTCTTGGCTCACTACTGCAGGACACAGTGTTTACCTTCCACAAGGGGAAAGGGAATAATATTTACAACTGAAGAGGAGGATTCAATAGTTGAGATGGTCATTGGCAACAACAGCATCTGGCTCAGAGAAATACATGACAAAATAATTGCAGGCAATGATATATTTTCAAATACTGATAATGTTCGCACTACAACTATTGCACGAGTGCTGCAGAAACATTAGATCAGGATAACAATTATACACTGTGCCATTTCAGGGGAACTCTGAGCCTGTTAAGGAACTCAGGTATTAATACATCCAGGTAAGTCATGGTATCTATGGTGATTCTGAACAGTGCAACACACACAGGCATTTTCTTTCATCTATTGTGCACAATACAGTAAGCTAATCACTTTGTGTCTTTTGTTACCTTGTGTGTTCTCTAATTTAATGTAGAGAATCATGGAGTCTGCACATCATGGAGTTAGTGAAGATGAACACACAGTTATTTTTGTGGATGAGGCCGTTTTCAACTTGGCAAAAAGATACCGCCGTGGAAGACATGTGGCGTGAATGTGAAGAGGGCAACTGCAGATGTTCCACCCCAGAGGGGGGCTAACATTACCATGTGTGCAGCAATATCTAATGATGGACTGCAGCTGCAGAAGGCCGTCATTGGCCCATACAATACAGCACACCTTATTGTTTTTCTTGATGAACTGTATGAAAAACTTTTAACAGCAAGAGAGAGAGAGAGAGAGAGGCAGAATTTACCAGTATTTGTGATTGTGTGGGGCAAATTGGCCTTTCATCATTCCCGCTAAGTCAGTGGTTTACTGCCCATCCCAGGATGATGTCATTATTTTTGCCACCATACTCTCCATTCCTCAACCCCATTGAAGGATTTTTTCTGCATGGAGGTGGAAGGTGTATGATTGCAGGCCCCATGATCAAATGTCATTACTGGAGGCAATGGATGCTGGCAGTGGGGACATCACACCTGAGGCTTGTCGGACCTGGGTGCTGCATGCCAAATGATTTCTCCCGCTTTGTCTCAGAAGAGAAAATATCAGGTGTGATGTAGACACAATGATGTGGCCTAACAGGGAAGAGAGACTGGATGCCCCTTGTGGGATTTCACGGCACATCTGTGTTCCCCCTGTTCTAAACCAAGGGGTATGTACAGTAGGACAGTAATTTGATGCAGGTTCATCCATCTATACATATCTGTATATATGTACTACGTACTGTAACATAATGTACTACAGTAAATGTACAACGTTCACTTACATATTTTTGTGTGTATTTTCTGTCACTTGGGTCTATGCTTTCTCAGTTACAGTAACTATCTGTAGATTTACAAATGTTTCACATTATATTTTATTCTGTTTTTTTTCCTCTATATTAGATTTGAGTAAGGATTTAATTAAGAGATTAAAACATTTGCTGAATAAGTCTTGATGCACTGGTGAAAGTGTTTTATTCATTTGTCACAGTGATGGAGTGATTGACTGATGCACAAGGTTTTGATTGTTTTAGTAGCTTCTGCACAGGTGATTTAGTGTTAGGATAAATACATTAACTGTTTTGAGAACTGCATTAAGAGTGGTGAGAATGGTGTTTCTGAAGAGGAAAGTGCATGAAAGCGACTGAGAAAAACTGTAATGAAAATTTATGGCCAAATGCAGAGGACCAAATGAATTAGGCCAGGTCAACAGTATACTTGACTGTATACAGTGAAAGTTTGCTATTTGCGTTTTTTGGTATTTTTTTTGGTATCGAGTGGTGTCGGGAGAGGTCATAGACGCAAGGACCGGGTCCTGCCCACCCTGCCCCCTGGCTCACCCTTGCTCTCCCCGGCTGTGACTTGGTGAATGCCTGTGGGTCCTGCGGCTCCAGTCTGGTCCGGTCCGGTCCAGCTGTCTGCTTCCTCCTCGCCTCCTCTGTCGGTCCCTCCATCTGTCTCCTCGTCCCCTGTGTGGTCCCCTCTGGCTCTGGCCTCCCGTCCGCCTGTGGCCCCTGCGGCTGCCTTCCCTCGCCCGCCTGGGTTCCCTCGGGCTCCCCATTGTCCGCCGGCCTTTGTCCTGCCTCCTTGTGTCGTCCCTCCTGTCTCTGCTCTTCGTCCCTCTGTGCCTCCCATGTTCACTCCTGACCCTTTCGTTCCGCCTGTCGGTGTTCCCCCTGTGTCTCCCTTCCTGGTTTGCCTGTCGGCGTTTCCCATTCTTTGTCAGGTCCTGTCTTACTTCCTGTCCCTGTGCCTGTTCTGTGTGTCTGTTCTGTTCCCAGTCTCTTGTTGATGTTTTTGCTCTTGTTTTTCAGGTCCCGTGTCCCCGGTTTCGTCTCCTCCGTCACCTCCCCTGAGGCGCGCCCGGAGTGCGCACTTTTGGGGGGGGGTTCTGTCATAATCTGCTCGTTTGATCCTCTTGTGTGCCACGCCCCCCTCATTACCTCGTGTTAATTACCGATTGTGATCATCTGTTGCCTGTTATTTTCTGCTTGTCTTGTGTATTTAGTCCGTGTTCAAGCCTGTTTCCCCAGATCAGTCATTGACGTTGTCTGCCGTGTTGTTCGTTTCCCTGCAAATAAACCCCGTTTCTACCCGTATTCACGGCTCGACTCGCCTGCTTCCCCTCTCACCTGCACGTGACGTGGCACTCAAATAACACAACTAATCTGGCCAAATTTTTTCTCAGTTAATGCCTCAAGATACATTTGATTTTCACTACAAACTTACTAGAAACAAAATAATAAAAAAAAAAACAAAGTTATACCAATAGTATGACTTGTAGCTGAAATATAGCTGGCAATGCATGATGTCCAATTTAGTGGACACATGGTTAATCCCAATTTACTCCTTAAACGAAATCAATACCTGAAAAATAAAAGAATAATATTGTTTCTCAGATGTTACTTTATGTTGTCATATTTATTTTACCTGCAAGAGTCTTCTATAATAGAAGGACTGGCAATATATTCTTGCTGTGATCAACTTTTATGCCAGTCGGTCAGCATCTTGGTTGAAAGGAATTTTAGTTGCAGTTACAACTGCTGGCCAGTGGGTGAAAGCTTATAGAGTGATGCAACAGCGTCCACTGAAAAATGCTGCATTGTCAGTTGTGTGATCGTGCATTTGAATCAGTACTAACGTTTTGTCAGCACATGAAAATCCACAGCCATGTCCCTAATTGTAATTTTAAGTGTGGTATTCCAGATTGCTCTAGATCCTTTAGAAAGTTTGCATTTAAGTCACATATATACAGGGACCATAAACGAAAGGCTGCATCTTCTACAGACCAAATTGGAGTAGAACTTTATGTTTCTGCTTTTATTTGTCACATTGATTTCTGTGAAGTTAGATGTAGTGATTTAAAAATTTTATTTTCTCACTTTAAGTGTCATATCAAGGAAGTTGTTACAGTCCCTTGACCATTTAGATGCAACAAAAGTTTTTCTGTTGTTTCAACATTTACCTCTCATTTATCAAGAAACCATTGAAAGTGTTCAGTGGAAAGACTGGGCCATAATATTATTGAGTCAGATGTTTCAGGGCAGTTGTGCACATCTCCAAGTGATGTGGATGAACATTCTGACACTTGCACTGGAGATGGTGGTGAGCACTCAGATATAGGCTTGTTACCAGAAAGTGTAGACGAATCTCTGTTTTTGAAGAATATGGCACTTTTTTACTTACAGCTTCAGGCAAAGTTGATTCTCCCAGCATCTGTTATTCAAACAGTAATTGAAGGTTTGCAGGACATACATGACATTAGCCAGTCACATTTGCTACACAGACTTAACACTAGAAAGACTGACTGGGTCAATTGACCCAGTCAGTCTTTCTAGTGTTAATGAAAATTTGGCTACACTAGAAATTTCAGAGGATAATAGAAAGAAAACGATTGATTTTGTGAAAACTGAGGATCTTTTTCGTATGTGCAATTCCTATGTTTTAAAAACAGATCAGAGACAAAAGACTTTTTATAAAGACAGCTTTAAGTATGTGGATCCTACACCCATTTGCCTTGGGAAATATGAATCAGGCAAGGAAAGCTTTGCTCAGTATGTTCCTATTAAGTAAACTTTAGAAGCACTATTCTCTTGTGAGTCAATAAGGGAGCAACATAGGAAGACAAAGTCTGAAGTCAGAACAAAACATATTCTCAGTGATATTTGGGATGTTAGAAACATTGAGGAGAACAGCATGTTCAAAACAAATCGAGAATGTTTAGGGCTAATTTTATATCAAGATGCATTTGAAATTGCCAATCCGTTTGGATCTGGTAGGAAAAAACATAAAGTTCTTGCAGTTTATGTCACACTTGCAAACCTTTTTCCTCANAGTAATTGAAGGTTTGCAGGACATACATGACATTAGCCAGTCACATTTGCTACACAGACTTAACACTAGAAAGACTGACTGGGTCAATTGACCCAGTCAGTCTTTCTAGTGTTAATGAAAATTTGGCTACACTAGAAATTTCAGAGGATAATAGAAAGAAAACGATTGATTTTGTGAAAACTGAGGATCTTTTTCGTATGTGCAATTCCTATGTTTTAAAAACAGATCAGAGACAAAAGACTTTTTATAAAGACAGCTTTAAGTATGTGGATCCTACACCCATTTGCCTTGGGAAATATGAATCAGGCAAGGAAAGCTTTGCTCAGTATGTTCCTATTAAGTAAACTTTAGAAGCACTATTCTCTTGTGAGTCAATAAGGGAGCAACATAGGAAGACAAAGTCTGAAGTCAGAACAAAACATATTCTCAGTGATATTTGGGATGTTAGAAACATTGAGGAGAACAGCATGTTCAAAACAAATCGAGAATGTTTAGGGCTAATTTTATATCAAGATGCATTTGAAATTGCCAATCCGTTTGGATCTGGTAGGAAAAAACATAAAGTTCTTGCAGTTTATGTCACACTTGCAAACCTTTTTCCTCACTGCAGGTCAAGCACTGATTGCATTCAGTTGGTTTTGCTGTGTAGAGAACAAGATTTTAAGTACTTTGGTCAAGACTTGATCTTTACCTCTCTGGTAAAAGACCTTAAAGACCTTGAGGAAAATGGGATTGCATTAGCTGATGGAAAGATACACAAAGCAACAGTGTATGCAATAGCAGGAGATAATCTTGGATCACATTACATCAGTGGATTTGTTGAAAATTTCAGTAGGAGTATCAACTTTTGTCGATTCTGTGAAATTGACCAACAAACATTTCAGTCAGCACCACTGTCCAAGGCAATAACACGAACTGTGAATTCATATGAGCAGAATATTAAGGATTTAGATTCATGTGGTGCTGGTAGTGTAGCTGGTGTCAAATGTAATTCGCCGTTTAATGATCTGAAGCATTTTCATGTTTGCCAGCCAAGACTGCCTCCTTGTCTTGGACATGACCTTTTTGAAGGGGTTGTGTCCTGCGATATTGCATTGTATATCGCTAGGCTTGTTAACCACAAGAAACAGTTCACATACCTTGAACTAAATCGTCGGATTAATCAGTTCAGGTACCTTGGCAATGATGCACATGATAAACCATGTGTAGTTCAACCTGGTAGTATGAAATTAGGTGGGCATGCAACTCAGAACTGGTGTCTGCTCAGGCTTTTACCTGTTTTGATGGGGGAAAAGATTGCCAGTCCATCTGAAAATGAAGTATGGCAGTTGGTACTGCAGCTCAGGCAAATAGTAGAATTTATTTGTGCCCCTGCAATTAGCGTTGACCAGATAGCTTATTTGTCAGTCCTAATTGATGAATACATTGAAACACGAAGACTTTTCCAAGCCATCCACTTAAGCCAAAACATCACTACATGTGTCATTACCCTGAACTTATTGATCGATTTGGTCCTTTGATTCGGTTATGGACACTCCGTTTTGAAAGTAAGCATTCATTCTTCAAGCAGTGTGCAGGAAAATTGCACAATTTTAAGAATTTGAGTGCTACATTAGCAGAAAGACATCAACTTCTGCAAGCATACCTACATGAAGGGAATCACTTCTCTGGCTGTTGTGTTGTAGAGAGAGAGACAGAGTTTGAATTAAATGACTTCAATGATGACAAGAGATCTGTCGCCTCCCTTGATTTTCAGTTAGGGAACACAGTGGCAGCTAGTGAAGTGACTGTAAAAGGCACATTGTACAAAAAGAACATGCATGTGGTTTTAGAAAGAAATGAAGAGGGAATTGTTTTTGGGGAGATTCAGTTAATTCTAGTTAACAACTCTTCCAATGTGTATTTTGTCACAAAGAAATGTCAGACTTTCTGTGTCATTGATCAAGGAGTTCACTGCTTGAGTTCACAACACAATGGCTATTTATGCATAAGTCAAGAAAACTTACCTGATTACTATCATCTACCTGAGTACTCTTTGCGTGGCCTGTCTGTCATCGCTCTTCACCATTCTTTTCCCTTTCTAGAGTAATGTCTGAGTTGGAGGAAAAGATTAAGAATTCTATATTGTCAGTGCTGCCAAAGTTTCCTGAGGATTCACTAAAGCAGTTAGTTGACAAGCTTTTAGGGCATGGAGTTGAAGATTTGGAAGATCTGGTGTATGTAAAAGAAGATGACATATTGGAGTACATACGACCTATTCAATGCCGAAAACTACTCTATGTCTGGAAAAATCATGGTAAACTAGAAAAGAAAATAAATGGAGAAGGACTATTTACAACACATAACTGTTATTATTGGATAATTCCTCAATTAATACATGATTTATTTACCAATTTGACTCCAGAACAAAAAAAAAGCAGCACTAAAATTTACCATCTCCTCCTTGGATTGCCACCTTATCGTGGTGGAGGGGTTTGCGTGCCTCCGTGAACCTGGGGGCTAGGTTGTCGGGG